TAATCCCGATTTGAAATCAAAATTCTTTCTTTCGTCATAACTTTCGTAAGTAGCCTTGATTTCAGACATTATTATCCTTTATTGGGCGTGTGGTTAGAACGTTCGCTTACCGGCCAAGAAACCCGGTTTCGAATCTCCCCGAGTTTTCAGGAAGGAGACTTCTTGGTGTTATCGGGATGCGGCCCCTTTTGGAAAGTGCCCGGAAACCATACAGCGGGTTAATCCAAAACTTGTGAGTGACAATGGGCAGATGGAACTAAATGGGAATCGTCGATAGTTGTGCTAGCACGAAGTCACAAGTCATCGTGAACGAGCATTTGCACGTGCTGGTTCTGTTCCGACTGATAATGTGCTCTCTCCCAGAAACCGTAACTAAGTTTCGCTCAGTTGGAGTATAAACCACATGTGGACTCAAGGCGTTGAACGAGCGCAAGTGATACTGAGCAGGCGTCTGTAACAGGGATTGGCTTGTTACTCTAGAAGAAAGGCACACGAGCCATGAGATTGATTTAAATTATCGTTCGAATCTGATGCTGGGTTTACAAAAAGTAAATAAAATTATAATATTTTTCATTAGCAATAGTTTTTTTTTAAAGTGAAATGTTTGTATATAACCTTTTAACTTTAATATTAATAAGAACAAAGTGTCAACAATTCAGTCAGTCAGTTATGTGCCATGCGTGATACACGTTTAGGCGATCATGTAGCTTTTGATACATGACTGACGAGGCAGATTTTTCCCGCAGTAACTTGTCATTACTTTCTGCGACAGACCAGTTGCCACCCAAGGCTATAGAACCCGGTCAATCCTGCTATTTTATATCTGGGAGGAGAAGAAGAGGATTCATACCTTTCCCAGGGGTATTATTAGCACGTAAGTGAATGTAATGGATTCGACTGGAAAGTCAGTTATGTGCCATGCGTGATACACGCTTAGGCGATCATGTATCATTCGATACATGACTGACGAGGCAATTTTTTTTCTCCGCAGTAGGTTGCCACTTCTTTCTGCGGTAGACCAGTTGCCATCCAAGGCTATAGAACCCGGGATCCATTACATTCACTTACGTGCTAATACACGGTCTGTCCTGTTATTTGCCCTAAGAGGATTCATACCTTTCCCAAGGGTATTAGCACGTAAGTGAATGTAATGAATTTGACTGGAATTCGAACTCGGCTCTCCTATTCCTCAATCCGAGACATGACCGAAAGTTTGGAGCATCCATTGAGGATCGAACTCACTATTCAATCATAATTGAATTTTGCGAGGGAAACCTGCTAACCATTACATCACGTCAAAGTCCACAGTAGCACAAGGTCAAAAGTTTGAAGCATGTAGTGAGGATCATACTTTCGATATATGACTGACGAGGCAGATTTGTTCTCGCTGTAGGTTCTTTCTGGTAGACCAGTTGCTATCCAAGGCTAGAGAACCCAGTCTGTTCTGCTATCTGTGGGGAGAGGAAGAGGATTCATACCTTTCTCAAGGTTACTAGCACGTAAGTGGAATGGATTCGACTGGAATTCGAACTCGGCTCTCCGATTCCTCAATCCGATCCGCTATCCATTACTCCACCGTTAACAATTACCTGCAATTTGGCATAGTAAAGAGTGATGACAGAAAAAACAAAAACTTAATGATCAAGAAAATACAAGTAATTAAAGGGGGAGAAATGGACAACAAAAGTTGTGCATATTTTATGATAAAGTAAACTGAACTTTCCTAAAAAAAAAAAGCTGTGATCTGATGTAACGATCATCCAATGTGTTGAGAGTAAGAGACAGTTACCCTCCTCCTTACTATCTTGAATAGATTAATTCATTCATGATAAGTAGTCATGGGTAAATATCTAGAAAGGAAAAGAAAATAATACTATTGCAGTAACTTGTCTAGCCGAGTATTGAATACTACTATCATGGCTGACTCTCTCAAGTGTTGTCTTGCCAGACCTCACATCACAAAACAATGAAAGCTACTTTCTATTATAGCAATGACTGACTCAAAAAAGTCATTAAAATTGGTCAAAACTAAAATTTAATGTTGAATTATACAATCCTTTACAAGAGCAAAACAATATAATTTTTCATTACTGAAAATCATTTTATTTAAAAGTGACCAACTTTTCTAGTATAAGACGAGTCATGTAAAACTTTTAGAAGCTGAACACATCCCACTTCAATTCAAACACTCCTAGGGGCTAACGGTACTCGTAAGTAACATAACGTGACTATTCAGTGTTGTGGTAAGAGCCAGTTACTCTCCTTCTTACTATCTTGAATAGATTAATCCATTCATGATAAGTAGTCCTAGGTAAATATCTAGAAAGAAAAAGAAAATAATACTATTGCAGTAACTTGTCTAGTCAAATATTGAATACTACTATCATGGCTGACTTGGTCGCGTTAAGTGCTGTGTCTTAGCAGACCCTGCATCACAACAGGGGAGAACAAAAATATTAAGAGGTTGCCTTTATTATAGCCCATGCCATTCCTTCTTTTTCCTCTTTTAAATTACAACATATATGTTGTAAAAAAGAATTTTTGGTTAAATTAATTTAGACAACCAGTTACAAATTTCTTTTCCACCTCTTTTTGAAGATATAGAAAAATATGAAAGGGGGTCAATAATATTGACCAAGACTATATTTATCAGGATGTGCTTCAATGGGTACATTGGGCTTCGTATATTTGTACATATTTGTATATGCATTTTCATCCTTCTGTAGAAGCACACTTCTGTTGCCTTAAGTCTCTTCTTCGTCTGTGAGTAGATTGTCTAGCATTCACTGCCATATAGGAAGATTGATATTCTATAACATTACGGCACTTTTTTCTTTGTTTCTAAAGATTTTTTTTCCATTTTTAATACTTTGCTTAGCTTTTGGAAAGCATCTTTTACTAATCCAAAAATAACTTGCCTAATATTCATTGCTGCATTTCCCTTCTTTCATACTCGTTCGATTATTGCTACCGGTCTCTAAGCAGCTTTCTAAAGTCACCCATCTCCCCGGTGCTTATCTGAAAATCGAAAATCACAAAAGATCTAATAATAAAATTGCTTGCGTAAAAAGTTCGATATCCAAAAGTCAAAAGTGTGTTATCTTTCATTAATTAATTTTTTCCAGACATTAATTAAAGAAACCTTTCGCTTTTTAACGGCTTTATCAATTATATTACCATCTTTTTTTTTTTTGACCTGTCTATATACTATGGTCTGAAGCAAAATTCAGTCAAAAATTTTCCCTCATATGATCTGTACAACCTACGTTTTGTAAACGTCTTATAATTAGGATATAAAAATTCTGATTGTATTTATACCAATGAAACCGGAAGTTATCGCAAGAAAAATATTAATGAAACAAATATATTTTACAAATATATAATTTGAATTTATTGCATATAATTTTAGTGAAACAAAGTACTAATATTAAATGTGATGAAATTAATATAATGAATATTATCAATGATAACACTTTTAATCTATGTAATATCCTTTTAAATAAGGACAATAGGTATATGAAAGGTACTCTAAAGTCCAAAGCTAATAGGAATTGCAATGGCTTTTATGACGTCTATAACTGAAATAATTTAATCAAAAAGTATCTTTTGACGGCATCGTGATAGCCGTGTCATCATGCATTTAATAAAAGAAATGTCCGAATTGGAATATTGTTAATTCAGTCGCTTAGGCGATCATGTATTTTTCGATATATGACTGACGAGGCAGATTTTTTCTCCGCAGTAGGTTGCCATTACTTTCTACGGTATACCAGTTGCCATCCAAGGCTATAGAGCCCGGTCTGTCCTGCTATTTACGCATAGCTGGGGCGGGGGGAGAAGAAGAGGATTCATATCTTTCCCAAGTGTATTAGCACGTAAGTGAATGTAATGGATTCGACTGGAAAGTTAGTCAGTCAGTTATGTCGCATGCGTGATACACGCTTAGGCGATCATGTATCTTTAGTTACATGACTGACTAGGCAGATTTTTTCCCACAGTAAGTTGCTATTTCTTTCTGCAGTAGATCATTTGCCATCAAAGGCTTTAGAACCGGGTCTGTTCTGCTATTTACCCATAGCTGGGGGGAGAATTCATACCTTCCTCAAATTTATTAGCACGTAAGAGAATGTAATGGATTCGACTAGGATTCGAACTCGGCTCTCCGATTCCTCAATCAGGGACGGAAAAACTTAACACCTTCAGAAAATGATGTTACTTTATACCAGCGTTTCTCAACCGAGCGCGCTAATATGTCATGAAAGGTCGCCAGGTGCGCCACAAGTTAACAGGAGAGTAATTTTTTATTAACTATTTTGTTATTCTTATCTATACAATACTAAAGCTCTAATATTTTTTGTAAGCATAAACGATACATAATACACAATAAATTTAGGGGCATATTGTATCTTGAACCCCTACCGAGTGGGTTGTCAAATTTAAGGAATTCTTGAGTTAGTGTCTGTCTATATTTCTGAGATGAGGTATTATGTACAGTATTTACATTAGTCGGACTATTGTCGGCATCTTTGTCGCCATATTTATTACAACATTTCGCCCTTTCAGTATCTGTCTATATTTCTGAGATGAGGTATTATGTACACTATTTACATTATTCGGACTATTGTCGGCATCTTTGTCGCCATATTTATTACAACGTTTCGGTCCTTAAGTATCTGTCTATATTTCTGAGATGAGGTATTATGTACAGTATTTACATTATTCGTACTATTGTCCTCATCTTTGTCGCCATATTTGTCACAACGTTTCGGCCGTTGTACGCTCCGGCCTTCTGCAGGTGGTTGGAATTTTGAACTGAAACCTTTATTTCGATCACTGGGGTAGACTGTTCTACTTCCACGTGCCATGTTTAATGGATGTCAGTTTTCAGTTATCTCCTGCTAATTTTCCCTCTGAAAGTTGTCCACTGCCTTAACCAGGTATTGAACTCACCTTCTTTGGGTCTGTCACTGGATCTAACCAACGCCTTTATCCACTGTGCCATGTGTCCTTCTTCTTTCCACATCACTCTCTCTTTTACTTTCCACCTCTCCTTTTCCACATCTCTCCATTTTCATATTTATTTGCGTGGGTGCTTGCGTGGTTCGACGTTCGTCCGGCGCACAATAAGGATTAAAGTCTCTTCCTCTTCTCTCTCTCCACCTCATTCTCTCTTTTTTCCACATCTCCGCTTCCACATCTAACATTCCACCTCTCTCCCTTTTCACATTTATTTGCGTGTGTGCTTGCGTGGTGCGTCGTCCGTCCGGCGCATAATAAGGATTTAAGTTTCTTCCAATTCTCTCTTTCCACCTCACTCTCTCTCTTTCTTTCCACGTCTCCCTTTCCTTATCTGTCTCTCTTTCCAACTCTCTCTCCATTTATAACATACTTTGCGTGTGTGCTTGCGTGGTTCGTCGTCCGTCCGGCGTACTAAAAATATTTAAGTTTCTTCAACTTCTTCTTTCCACCTCACTCTCTCTTTTACTTTCCACATCTCCTTTTCCCCATCAATCTTTCCACCTCTCTATTTTCATATTTATTTGCGTGTGTGCTTGCGTGGTACTTCGTCCGTCAGGCGAACAATAAGGATTAAAGTTACTTCCTCTTCTCTCTCTCCACCTCATTCTCTCTTTTTTTCCACCTCCCTTCCTTCCTCATCTCCATTTCCATCTCTCTCCCTTTTCACTCAATTTGCGTGTGGACTTGCGTGGTGCGTGGTCCGTCCGGCACATAATAAGGATTTAAGTTTCTTCAACTTTTCTCTTTGCACCACACTCTCTCTTTATCTTTCCACATCTCCGCTTCAATATCTGACATTCCACCTCTCTCCCTTTTTACATTTATTTGCGTGTGTGCTTGCGTTGTGCGTCGTCCGTCCGGCGAATAATAAGGATTTAAGTTTCTTCCACTTCTCTCTTTCCACCTCACACTCTCTCTTTCTTTCCATCTCTCCCTTCCACATCTCTCTTTCCACCTCTCTATCCTCTTTTGACACTTCTTTTGAAGTGTGTGCTTGCGTGGTACGTCGTCCGTCCGGCACAAAATAAGGATTTAAGTTTCTTCCAATTCTTTCTTTCCACCTCACTCTCTCTCTTTCTTTCCACGTCTCACCTTCCTTATCTGTCTCTCTTTCCAACTCTCTCTCCATTTATATCATACTTTGCGTGTGTGCATGCGTGGTTCGTCGTCCGTCCGGCGTACTATAAATATTTAAGTTTCTTCAACTTCTTCTTTCCACCTCACTCTCTCTTTTACTTTCCACATCTCCTTTTCCCCATCACTCTTTCCATATCTCCATTTTCATTTTTATTTGCGTGTGTGCTTGCGTGGTACGTTGTCCGTCCGGCGAATAATAAGGATTTAAATTTCTTCCACTTCTCTCTTTCCACCTCACTTTCTGTCTTTTTTTTCAACCTCTCCCCTTCCACATCTCACTCTCCCTTTTCACATTGCTTTGCATGTGAGCTTGCGTGGTGCATCGTCCGTCAGGCGCACAATAATGATTTAGTTTTCTTCCTCTTTCTCTCTCCACCTCACTCTCACACTTTTTTCAACCTCTCCCCTTCCACATCTGTCTTTCCACATCTCTTTCCCTTTTCATTTACTTTGCGTGTGGACTTGCGTTATGCGTCGTCCGTCCGGTACATAATAAGGATTTCTTCAACTTTTCTCTTTGCACCACACTCTCTCTTTATCTTTCCACATCTCCGCTTCAATAATATGGATTGGATTCTTCCACATCTCTTTTTCCACCGCACTCTCTCTTTATTTCCATCTCTCCACTTCCACATCTCTATTTCAACCTCTCTCTAACTTTTTAACTTTCTTTACGTTTGTGCTTGCGTGGTGCGTCGTCCGCACGGCGCACAATAAGGATTTAAATGTATTCCACTTCTCTCTTTCCAACTCACTCTCTCACTTTCTTTTGCACATCCCTCTTTCCATGTCTCTCTCCCATTCACATTTCTTTGCGTGTGTGCTTGCGTGGTGTGTCGTCCGTCCAGCGTATAATAAGGATTTCAATTTCTTCCATTTCTCTCTTTCCGCCTGATTCTCTCTCTTTTTTACAACTCTCTACTTCCACGTGTCATTTATATCTCTCTCTCCGATTTCACCATACATGGCGTGGGTGCTTGAGTGGTGCGACGTACGTCCGGCGCATGATAATAAAAAAAAAATTCTT